AAAAAAAGTGAACAGACCTTATAGAAAGTAATTGCCATTTATCTTGGAAGAACTATTTAGATAGTCTTCTTACAGAGATACTTGATCTTTTTTTTTTTTTTTTTCTTTTTTGGTTGGTTGTGGGGCTTGAACTCTGGGCTTGGGCGCTGTACCTGCACAATTCAGCTCAAGGCAAGTGCTCTACCACTTGAGCCACAGTGCCACTTCCAGTTTTCTAGTGGTTTTTATTGGAGATAAGATTCTCATGGACTTTCCTGCCCAGGCTGGCTTTGAACCATGATCCTCAGATCTCAGCCTCTTGAGTAGCTAGGATTACAGGCATGAGCCACTGTCACCTGGCTGATACTTCATCTTTTGTCTATATATAAATGTTTCAGCATAAGTATCTCCATTAAGACTTCCCCCATGGGCTGGGAAGGTGGCTCAGTGGTAGAGCGCTTGCCTTGCATGCATGAGGCACTGGGTTTGATTCCTCAGCACCACATAAACAGAAAAGAAAAAAGAAAAAAAAAAAGACTTCTCCCAAATACCTGTTGTCCAACTGCATAAGCAAGGAGTGCTCCAAGGAAAAACTATTCTGGTACAGACAGTGCTATTAGGCTAACCTGTGTATGGGGCATGGAAGATAATACCCGTGTGAGCGCAGACAAACTGCTCCAAGAGCTTCACATTCTGTGGAAGAGAAAAAAACATAAGCAGAGGGAGAAGTAGCAAGACCTTTGGAGATTAAAAATATACAATCCCAACTCATCCAGAAAGATATCTTTGTGTCCTCTGGATGCTACCCTCCTTCATTTCCCAGTTTTAATCCCATAAATTCACTGTTTTTGTTTTTACCAGTCCTGGGGCATGAACTCAGGGCCTAGGCCTAGCTTCTTTTCCTCAAGGCCAATACTGTATCACTTGAGCCACAGCGCTACTCTGGCTTTTCCTGTTTATGTGCTACTGAAGAATCAAACCCAGGGCTTCATGCATGAAAGGAAAGCACTCTACTGCTAAGCCACATTCCCAGCCCCCCCCCTTTTTTTGTCTGTCATGAGGCTTGAACTCTGAGCCTGGGCACTGTCTAAAAATAATGTTCTAGGGCTGGGAAGGTGGCTCAGTGGTAGAGTGCTTGCCTTGCATGCATAAGGCCCTGGGTTTGATTCCTCAGCACCACATAAACTTTAGAAAAGGCCAGAAGTAGTGCTGTGGCTCAAGTAGTAGAGTGCTAGCCTTGAGCTGAAGAGCTAAGGGACAGTGCCCAGGCCCAGAGTTCAAGCCCCAGGACCAACCCACAAAAACAAAACACAACAACAACAAAGGAATGATGTTCTAATATGTACAAACAGTCAAGGTATATAACAGTATAATGGATATTATACATAAATACATGATTAAAAACCTTACAGTTTTAACTATAGTAAATGACATAAAAGCTGGGTGCTGGTGGCTCACACCAGCTACTCAGGCCAGCAGTTCACAGCCAGCCCAGACAGGAAAGTCTGTCACACTCTTATCTCCAATAAATCACCAGAAAACCAGAAGTGGCACTGTGGCTCAAGTAGTAGAGCCCTAGCCATGAGCTGAAGAGTTCATGGACAGCACCCAGGCCCAGAGTTCAAGCCCCATGACTGACAAAAAAAAAAAAAAAAGCTGGGTGCTAGTGGCTTATAACTGTCATTTTAGCTATTCAGTAGACCAAGGATTATGGTTCAAAGCCAGCCCAGGCAGGAAAAGGATGTGACTCATCTTCAATTAACTACCAGAAAACTGGAAGTGGAGCTGTGACTCAAAGTGATTGAGTGCTAGCCTTGGGCAAAATGGCTCTCAGACAGAGCCTAGGCCCTGAGTTCAAGCTCCAATTCTCTCTCTCTCTCTCTCTCTC